CGGACCTCAAATCATTATACGAAGATGTATCTGAAATGCCGCAGCTTCTGTTCGCTTTCAAAATGTGACGGCGCCAGAAATCTCAAAGGTTAACTTGCTAGGCTCGAGTTTGGTTCTGTTAGCCAATGTCTTCGCTGATATATAGCTCCAATAGTTCCAAATCGCTAAGCACCCCCGCAGTTTTTTCCCCGTCGATCAGGAGCTTTTGCTTCTCTTATCCCAGCGCGCGGCCCGAGACGGCACGCCCGCGGCACGACAGTTTTTCTCCGGCTGACTCTACGCACTCTGCCCACTTAGCTTTATACCACGTAGTTTTTTTCCCCGCCGATCGGGAACTTTTGCTTTTCCCATCCTAGCGCGCGGCCCGAAGCGGCACGCCCGCTGCCCGCGGCCCGAAGCGGCACGCTAGGTCGGCTTCGCGCTCTGGCGCGCGGCTCGAAACAGCACGCTCGCAGCGTGGTCTTTTTTCTCCGGCTGGCCCCACGCCCTCCGCCTACTTGAGCTTACGCCCCTCAGCTTTGTCCCCGCCGGACGGGAGCTTTTGCTGTTCTTATCCTAGCGCGCGGCCCAAGACGGCACGCCCGCGGCACGACAGCTTTTCTCCGGCTGACTCTACGCACTCTGCCCACTTAGCTTTATACCACGCAATTATATTTTTTGCCCGCACATCGGGAGATTTTGTCTTGCTTATCCTAGCGCGCGGCCCGAAGCGGCACGCCCGCTGCCCGCGGCCCGAAACGGCACGCTGGCTCGGCTTCGCGCTCTGGCGCGCGGCCCGACACGGCACGCTCGCAGCGCGATAGCTTTTCCCCGGCAGGCCCCAGGCGCTCTGCCCACCCGAGTTTATGCCCAGCATTTTTTATCCCAGCCGGACGGGAACTTTTGCTTTGCTTATCCTAGCGCGCGGCCCAAGACGGCACGCCCGCAGCATGATAGTTTTTCTCCGGCCGACCCTACGCACTCTGCCCACTTAACTTTATGCCCCGCAGTTTTTTCCCCGCCGATCGGGAACTTTTTTGTTTGTCTTATCCTACCGCGCGGTCCGAAACGGCACGCCCGCTGCCCGCGGCCCGAAACGGCACGCTCGCAGCGCGGTAGTTTTTCCCCGGCTGGCCCTACGCGCTCCGCCTACTTAAGTGTGTGCCCAGCAATTTTACCCCCGCCGCACGGGAGCTTTTTTTTCTTATCCTCGTGCGCGGCCGGACATGGCGCGCCCTCCTACCGCGCGGCCCGAAACGGCTCGCTAGCTCGGCTCCGCGCTCTCGCGCGCGGCCCGAAACGGCACGCCCGCAGCACGATACTTTTTCTCCGGCAGGCCCCCCCCCCCCCGCCGGACGGGAACTCTTGTGTATCTCATCCTACCGCGCGGCCCGAAATGGCACGCCCGCTGCTCGCGGCCCGACACAGCATGCCCGCTCAGCTTCGCGCTCTTGCGTGCAGCCCGAAACGGCACGCTCGCTGCGCGCGGTCTTGCCCGCTGGACTTAATTTATACCCTATATTATCTATAGATCTACTTATCTATCAATCTCTCTATCTACCTCTCTATCTCCTATCTATCTATCTACCTCTCTATTTATTTATCTCTCTATCTCTTTATCTATCTAGCTAGTTATTTGTCTATCTATCTACAAATCTATCTATCTCTGTCTATCTCTGTTTCTCTATCTCTTTCTATCTATTTCTCTAGCTATCTCTATATCTGTTTATTGATCTATCTATCTACCCATCTTTCTCTGCACTTAAAAGTTGCGATGTTCAATCCCCGAAAGTTGACTTCGCGTACTACTTTCGTACTTAAAAGTTGCGATTTTCGAGCCCCAGCTGCGAAACTGGACTTCACGTACTACTTTCGTAGTTAAAAGTTGCGATTTTCGAGCCCCAGCTACGAAAGTGGACTTCGCGTACTACTTTCGTACTAAAAAGTCGCGATTTTCAAGCCCCAGCTGCGAAAGTGGACTTTGCGTACTACTTTCGTACTTAAAAGTTGCGATTTTCAAGCCCCGGCTGCGAAAGTGGACTTTGCGCACTACTTTCGTACTTAAAAGTTGCGATTTTCAAGCCCCAGCTGCGAAAGTTGACTTCGCGTACTACTTTCGTACTTAAAAGTTGCGATTTTCGAGCCCCGGCTGCGAAAGTTGACCTTGCAAAAATGCTGCGCCTGCCACCAAATCTGTGCTTGACCTTGCGAAAGTGCTGCGCCTGCCACAAAATCTGTACTTGACCTTGCGAAAGTGCTGCGCGTGCCACGAATTTGCACTTGACCTTGCGAAAGCTGCTGCGCCTGCCACGAATTTTGTACTTGACCTTGCGAAAGTGCTGCGCCGCCACGAATTTGGCACTATGCGAAAGTGCTGCGCCTGCCACGAAATCGATACTTGACCTTGCGAAAGTGCTGCGCCTGCCACGAAATCTATACTTGACCTTGCGAAAGTGCTGCGCCTGCCACGCAATTCAAACCTTGCGAAACCTTCGCGCGGCCGTGCCAATGGGCCCGTCTCCGAACCCGTTCCGAACCCGTTCCGAACCCGTTCCGAGACCGTTCCGAGACCGCCTCCGTACAGGCGTCGCAGCCGAGGTGGTTTGCGCATTGTCCGGAAGCCTAATTCACGCACAGCGCCAACGTTTTCTGCATCTTGCCATCCCCCAGCTCGCGAAAGTGCTGCGCCTGCCACAAAATCTGTACTTGACCTTGCGAAAGTGCTGCGCGTGCCACGAATTTTGCACTTGACCTTGCGAAAGTGCTGCACCTGCCACGAATTCTGTACTTGACCTTGCGAAAGTGATGCGCCTGCCACGAATTTTGTACTTGACCTTGCGAAAGTGCTGCGCCTGCCACGAATTTGGCACTTGACCTTGCGAAAGTGCTGCGCCTGCCACGAAATCGATACTTGACCTTGCGAAAGTGCTGCGCCTGCCACGAAATCTATACTTGACCTTGCGAAAGTGCTGCGCCTGCCACGCAATTCAAACCTTGCGAAACCTTCGCGCGGCCGTGCCAATGGGCCCGTCTCCGAACCCGTTCCGAGACCGTTCCGAGACCGTTCCGAGACCGCCTCCGTACAGGCGTCGCAGCCGAGGTGGTTTGCGCATTGTCCGGAAGCCCAATTCACGCACAGCGCCAACGTTTTCTGCATCTTGCCATCCCCCAGCTCGCAGAGAGTGCTTGCGAAAGTGCTGCGCCTGCCACGAAATCTTGATAAAGTGCTGCGCCTGCCACGAAATCGATACTTGACCTTGCGAAAGTGCTGCGCCTGCCACGAAATCTATACTTGACCTTGCGAAAGTGCTGCGCCTGCCACGCAATTCAAACCTTGCGAAACCTTCGCGCGGCCGTGCCAATGGGCCCGTCTCCGAGACCGTTCCGAGACCGTTCCGAGACCGTTCCGAGACCGCCTCCGTACAGGCGTCGCAGCCGAGTGGTTTGCGCACAGTCCGGAAGCCCAATTCACGCACAGCGCCAACGTTTTCTGCATCTTGCCATCCCCCAGCTCGCAGAGAGTGCTTGCGAAAGTGCTGCGCCTGCCACGAAATCTATACTTGAGAAAGCTATCTACGTGTTAAGCTGGCTATATGTCAAAGCTATCTATCTGTCATGCAAGCCTATTGGAAAGCTGTCTGCTATAAAGCTATCTATCTGTCAAGCTAGCTATATGTCAAAGCTATCTATTTGTCATGCTAGCTACCTTCATAGCACAAAGCAGCTAGCTGATACTGCAGTGCGTGCACGATTGGTGCAGTGTGATGTTCGCGGTCGGCACACATTTGATGTGTCATGTGCAGTGAAGATTGCTCAAGCGCTTGACAAGGTTGCGTTAAGTGACGTTCCCCTGCCGAACAGATACAAAAACTGACTTGAGAAAGAAGGGGCTGGAAGCACAGGGGCTGTGGGGAGAGGGAAGGGGTATGACTTGGGATACAGCTGTGCGAAATTTGAGGTATGGAGCCCAATCCCTGCAGCGACTTGGGTTGGGACGGCAGGTATTGAAACAAGTATTTGCACCTTCAAGATACTCACACGCACTGGCAAAAAGCACATGTTTGACTTGTTGCGAGTTCCCCGATAGGACGTGTGGGACAGACAAATCATAGAGCCTTCTCGAATCAACACTCCAATCACCCAAAACCACTCACTACTAACCACTTAACAAAACCCAGCAGCACCCACCAAACACAACCCCCGACCGTCCACCAAACGACCCACTACCAATCACCAAACTCGCAGGCTGATTGAACATTGTGTGACAAAAACCCTTCCCGAAAAGGCTCATAAGGCGCGCGCCGGAAATGGAAGCCGTGGCCATGGCCGCAGCAAAACCAACAAATATCGATACAAGGGGGACCCAAAGATTCTTTGAGAGACACACTGGAAGCTAGTTGCTTCCGGAAAAAATAGGCAAGGAAAAGAGCACGCACGAGGGGGTTTCTTGGTATGGTCGGTATGGTCGGGCTTCCGGTGACGTTACCATCCGAAAAAGGCTGCATAGCAATGCACGTGCCTGCTGCGGTCGAGCCCGGACACAAAAGGGCAAGCCATCGGCCCGATAAAGAGGGTGCTTGTCAACCCACCAGCCATGCTGCTACTCCTAGCATACTGGGACCTACCAGGTGTACATTGCTGGGGTCATTTGGACCCCCCTATTTGCCACCTCCCCCCGCTCCCCCCCCAACACCCCCACCTTCGGGGGCTAGTGATGCTGGGGATGTTGGCGTGACGTGCGGGGGATGTTGAAACGACGCTGAGGATGCTGACAGGCCAGTGTAAAATACGTACGTCCCGTGAGAACATGCTGTAAAAATACGTAATTTTCTGGCCAAGACGAAAACCAAAATGAGAATCCCAAAAGAAAACAAAGAGCACCTAAATTAAGTGTCGACCCTACTACTCTGTGTACAAAACACCGCTGCTAACTCGTACTTTCATTCTACCTTTGCAGTGACAAATTGCGATAGTGGAGTTGTAGGGCAATGAACATCGCGTTTCAAGTACCTCTGTCACCGATGCAGGTGGAGATTCTCCGATGGCTAGAGAGGCTGGACGGTCCGACAGTGCCTAAAATGAGGGATTGGGCCAGAGCGCAGGATGATCAAGATGAAGAGCTACGGCTGGGGCTCGCACCATGAGGCACCAAACTCGGTGCACTTGGAATGTGAGCTGCAAGACCCCTCAAGCCTGACAGGCCTTTGAGCGCGGCTGCAATGCCCGTGGGCGGCTGCAGGCGCACAGGGGCCTTTTGATAGAAATGCCGGCTGTTGAGTGTTGGTCACAGCAGCCCCCTTGCATGGATTGGTAGACGGGTGCTTTTGCCAGCCTGCAGGTAAAGACACCATTGGGTGCTGGTTCAGAGTGGGTCAGATCAAGATGGGTGGTTCTTTTTTGAGATGTGGTTTTAAAGGAGTCATAAGGGACAAATACTATTTTGGGGGTCTCCCAAAAACAGACGCACTCAGATAGCGATGCTTGATGAACGCATTTTGCACGTTTATGTTGCATTGCAAGGTGCTTATCCAACATAGAGAGCACATTTTGATGGACCCTGATTCCAGGTTTCCATGTGCTTGCATTCGCTGGTTCACTATGATTTCAATGCCATCCATGTAGTCCGAGTCATTTCCTTTGCAGGTGCCAAGGGTCCCGGGCCACCTTGAGCTCATGGCAGGGGGTGGGGATCAGACGCTTAATCCCAGGCGCGGGAAGGGAGGGGAACCCTTGATTTCGTGATACATGCCAATTTTGCTGCCCAATGCAAAACCTGAAGGTTGCCTTACAATGAAGTCTGGTGGTCCCACTGAGATTGCTTGGTAGGGCTTGACAGCGCTCGGACTTGATTGAAAACGAGGATCGAATGAATGCTTGCCAAGCAAGTCAATGTGCTGAGTGCATGCTTTTGGTACAACTCATGTCAATATGCTTGTAATCATCTAACACCCGCAAGGTGGATCAATGATTTGATACATTGTCCAGGCAGCGTTCATGCTTTTCGTTTGCTCACTGCATTCAGGATGACGAATGTGTCCCACACCGTCAAGCATCTCTCCTTCTCCGATGCAAATGACGGCAAGTTCCACCGCAAGGCTGAACACCCAGAGCGTTGGCTCCAATTCTGACTGGCCCTTTCAGCTTCCTGAACAGGGCTGGTCTAGCTTTCCCATCGAGGCGAGGCGACATGCGTCTCACCATTTGCAGCAGTCGCGTTGGTGCCCCGAGCAGGTGACACGGAACCTAGCACCTTTGGATGGTCAGCGATTCTTGCTTGGGGCTGAGCTTCGCGTGAATGCAGGCCTGTTTAACATTCTTGCATGTGACTGCCTACTGTAGTATTTTGCCAATCATTTGAGTCCGAACGTGGTGGCAGCTTCTGGACAAGCAATGTGTTCGCAATGGCAGACACAGATGGAGATAGTGACCGCAGACCGTGGATCCATTTACATTGAAACACATGTACGAAGTATATCCATATTCACGTTTCATAGATTACCACGTACCTACCTACTCACCTACTTATTTATCTACCTACCTATCTACATTGATACATACATTGATACATACATTGATACATATATTTATACAAACATTTATACATGTACTCATTTATACATACAGACATACATGCATGCATGCATGCATGCATGCATACATGCATGCATACATGCCTACATACACACACACACACACATACATGCATGCATACATACATACACACATACTGCACATATACATACATACATACATACATACATACATACATACATACATACATGCATGCATGCATGCATGCATGCATGCATGCATGCATGCATGCATGCATGCATGCATGCATACATACATACGTACATGCACATATACATATACGTATACATATACGTATACATATACATATACATATACATATACATACACACACACATACACATACACATACACATACACATACACATACACATATACATATACATACATACATACATACATACATACATACATACATACATGCATGCATGCATGCATGCATGCATGCATGCATGCATACGTACATACATACATACATACATACATACATGCACATATACATATACATATACATATACATATACATACATATACATACATATACATACATACACGCACATATACATATACATATACATATACATATACATATACATATACATATACATATACATATACATATACATATACATATACATATACATATACATACATACATACAAACATATGTTAATATACAACATGCGTATGCCAGTACAAAAGGAGGGCTGCATTGCCGGTTTGATCCACACACACAGGTTTGCACTTCAGGTATTCAGGTTATAGCTGCGGAGCAGTGAACACAGTTACTCTGGCGGCCTTTCCATACAACACACAAGTACTGGCGGCCCAACAACAACAAGAGCAACAGCAAGTACAAGATATCGCCACCGCGGCTCACAGAAGAACACAGCGCCTTCGAAGAATGGAAGTACAAGATGACAGCATACCTTGGATTGCAAGATCCTTCATACAGCAGACTGCTGAGACAGTCAGAGCAATCGACAAGACAAGTCACAAGCAACCAACTTGAGAACGCAGCGCCTTCGCAACAGATGGCAGAGCAATGGATACGGCTGAGCAACAACATGCGCTACGTCTTAGAGAGCGCGCGCGGTTGCAGACGAAACACGTCAGGCAACGGTTTCGAGACATGGCGGCTGACACATGCAAGGTGCTCCACACCACTTGGTACACGAAGCATTCATTATCCAACAGGGTTACTCAAGCTACAGCTTGATGAACAGAAGTTCGAAGAGAGCTTCGCAACATGGGAGTTCCAACTCTCTAAGTACGAACAGGACAACGACACAATACTACCAGACGCAGCCAAGATTTCAATACTGCTCAATGAGACAGAAGGACCACTACAGCAGCACCTACAGTTGCAGGCAGTCAACATCACAATCTCTGGTGATTGCAGCGTCATCAGTCAACAGGCTACAAGCAATCGCATTGGGCAACAACAACAACCCAAGGACCAGCATCGATGGACATAGGAGCAACATGGTGCAACAAAGGCAAAGGAAAGAAAGGCAGGCGCAAAGGAAAGTGCAACGAAGGCAAAGGCTATGGCGGTTACGGGGGCACTATCACAACAACAACTACAAAGGAAAAGACAACAACCAACAAGGAAGAAAAGGAGCAGAACATGTGGACAGCGAGGACACATGGCCAAACAATGCAGAGTCGCGATCTACAACTGCGACACTGGCAACTTCGACACCAACGACCAGACAGATGACTGGTATACCCAGGTACGCTATGACAGCAATTTGTACCACCAGGATGAAGCACAGGTGCAACAACTACTACCACAACCAGCAGATTCATCAGTACCCATCTCAGGATTGCAAGGAGTAAGACTGGCCATGATTGGCACAGCGCAGAAACCCATAGAAACAAACGGGTCAGTCTCACGATGCGGCTACACATGTGTGCCCACCATGGTTTGCAACACAAATCCCACTACAACAACTTGAGCATGGACAAGGGCCGCAACTCAGAACAGTGACCGACCAACACACCAAGCTCTTCGTGTACAGATGGGTTTGCGTGACCAAAAGCAGTGGACAACAGATAGTCACTGGAACAAGGTTTCCAACTTGCGTTGGATGAGAATCCAAAACTACAACACAGCAAAGGGCTCGACAGCGCACTGGAGAGCAGAGACGGGCTGTTCTTTCTACGAGCAGAACGCAGAAGAACAACATCAGACTCAAGGATGGTACAACGAACACGTCTGAGGGCAAGTGTCAAACAATGGATGTTCCAAACAGAGCGCAACAACAGATGTGGAGAGGAGAAACAGTTTTCAGGGTCCACTGCCAGAGACGCTACAGCAAAAGCTTGCAACAAAGACACAACCAAAGAGCGCGCCGCAGAAAGGTCGCCCCAAGTAACTCAGTACAACCCACGCGCATGACTTAGAGAGAAGACAACACCACCAACTGTACAAGGACTTCCACATCCTTCAGAAGTACATCCTGAGACTACTAGCGCAGAGAGGGTACTGGAAGGGAGTCACATCGAGCCACGAGTGTGAAAGAGCATCACACGCCGCACTACAGTCCGATCAGGAGGACTTCCTGACAGCTCTGATCGCAACAATTGCAAGCAAGAGTGGCGACATCACCAGAAGGAACTCAGGGGCATACCTGACAATCACAAGGAGGAGTAGAACGAGCGCGCAGAAAATTGTTTGCGCAAGCGCAGGTCAAGCGTATCTACAACGGGGACATCTGAAGGGAACACCCGCTCATGCCCTGAGCAGTCCGACGCAGCGCACACACACATCATGAATAGATATTGCAAACTACTTCAACAGATACGCGCGCCAGTTAAGTGCAGCCTACAAGCATAGAATTTCCCAAACTCGGGCCAAAGATCTGGCTGAGCAAGGACAACCAGAAGGCAGATCATGCCTCACAAGCACACCCAACAACTACTGGACTGTGAGACAGGTCCATGGAAGACACCAGCATCAGCACTGCCTACACCGACTCTTCCAAAACCGGCGGCAGCGCCCGCAACAAGCAAGACACATGGAGCGCTTGCCGCATGAGAGTTTCCCAATCCTTCATGAAACCAGGGACATGGGTGTCACCATGACACACTCGGGAAGAAAGACTGGTTTACAGAAGAAATTCACGAAAACAATTGCTAATAACCCCGACAATTGCTTCATTGCACTTGATTGAGAAACAGAGGCTAATACGGTGGCTGTGTTATCTGCTGCGTTTTTTGGAGCGCAAAGACTAGGTGTTTCCAATTCTAACACGGTGCTGCGACCGCTCAAAACTGCGGTTGCTGCAGCTGTGGTGGGAATGTGACGCTGCATGTTGTGGGTTGCATTCAAAATGATTCTCAAATCCATTCGTAGGGTCCTATACCGTGATGTGATTGCAGCAACCTCGATGTGGTGTCTAGCTGTGCTTCTACAGGACTCGCCCGCGTTGAAGAAGGCGAGGTCAGGACCTGCTGCAGCCTGGCCTATGTGCAATAGAGTGAGCAACAAGCAAAGCAGAAGAAGACAACTGAGCCAACAGCACCAATGGCCACACCACCAACACATCAGAAGAGGCCAGCGTTGCCAGCACCACGACACAATTGCAGAAGGCGCAGGCAAGCAACATCGCACGACAGCAAAAAGGCAAGCGCTGGAACGACCTACAACAGAAGGCAAGATGAGAACCAATGCCACCAAAATTACAGCAAGAGATGGCAGACAAATGGAGACCACACGCAACAAGGACACACAAGGGATTGAAAACGAAAGGATCCTACCAGAGCCAACCACACATGACACAGAAGGCTTGGATCCACAACTCGTTTCACAAGGCATGAAGAATTGAGCGCGACAAATGTAAGACCAATCAGTCTTGACAGAGATTGATGGCGACAACATGACGCCAGAACAACAAGCAAGCGTCGTTGAATCAAGATGGGTTCTCAAACAAAGGCACAACAAAGTACGAGCGCAAATTGTAGCAACAGCCCCTTAAGACTGGCATCTTGTCAGCCCTTAAGATGTTTAGACTTTAAGCCGTTAAGATGCTAACGCGTGAAGCCACTCAGACTGTAAGATTTCTCTCCATTAAGATTCCAAGGTTTGAAGCCATTAAGGTTTGAAGATGTTAAGCTTTTAATTTTAGGTTTTAAGCCATTAAGATGCTATCGCGCTTAAGCCACGCATAGTTTAAGATTGCAAGCCGTATTTTGCAGAGTCGAACTCATTTAGGTTTTCATGTTCTCAGTGATTAGCAGTTCAATATTTTTCAGCCACCAAGGTTTCAACGCGTTAAGCTACTAAGGTCTTAAGATGTTCAGCCATTACGAATTTTAGACGTTACGCCATTAAGTTGTTAATAGTTTAAAGCCACAAAGATGTTCAGACTTTAAGCCACTAAGAATTTCAGATTCAAGCCCTTGAGCTTTTTAGAGTTTGAGCCATGAATAGTTTAAGGTTTCCCTCTGTGCCCTATTGTCCAAAATGTCACCCAGATAATTGCCAGTGAAGCTGAAGATGTTGCGGAGGAGTTGCTGAGGATGCAACAAAAGAGTCGGGGGAAGTGAACGTTGTTACGCAAGTGTCTTAGAATCACTGGCCACCCCCCCACCCCACTCCCGCACAGTCCGGATATGTGGCCACTGAAGGGGCTTGGGGAGGTAAGGCGAAGAAGTAAGAACATCTCTTACACCCAACATGCAGTCTGCGTACTTAAAACAAACATACTAACAAAGAGACAAGTAAAACCATAGCTAGCTGGAGAATTACACACGCAAGCAAACAAATCAGCACACACATGTACACATATATATATATATATGTACACATGTATGAGTATATACTAAGTGCAGGACTAAGAAAACTGAATCAAATTAGCTAGTAAGACAATTGGCATGACTGCCTGAACGGACTGACTGACTGACTGACTGACTGAATGAATGAATGAATGCATGCATGCATGCATGAATGAATGAATGAATGAACGAGCGAACCAATGAATGTATGAACGAATGAATGAGCAAGTCAATGAATTAAGGAGTTCAAGAATTAATTCTTACCTCATGAATGAAGGATATGAAATGAGGCAGAATGGAATGGAATGGAATGGAATGGAATGAATGAACGAAATGGTGAATGAGTGAATGAGTGAATGAGTGAACGGGTGAATGAGTGAATGAGTGAATGAGTGAATGAGTGAATGAGTGAACGAGTGAACGAATGAATGTATGAACGAATGAATGAAGGAACGAAGGAAGGCACGAATGCATGAATGTCATGAAGGCATGAATGCATGAATGCATGCATGCATGCATGCATGAATGCATGAATGCATGAATGCATGAATGCGTGAATGCATGAATGCATGAATGCATGAATGCATGAATTCATGAACGCATGAAACGCATGAACGAAAGAACAAATGAAGGAATGAGCGAAAGGATGGATGGGTGGATGAACGAATGAATGAATGATGGAATGAATGGACGAATCAGTGATTGAATGAGTGAATGAATGAATGAATGAATGACTGAAAGAATGAATGACTGAATGAATGAATGAATGAATGAATGAATGAATGAAAGGAGCTAACATGACATGACATGGCAGGACAGGACCTGGTTCGGTTGGTTGGTTGGTTGGTTGGTTGGTTGGTTGGTTGGTTGGTTGGTTGGTTGGTTGGTTGGTTGGTTGGTTGCATTGTTCGGTTGATGGGTTGTTTGAACGAATGAATGAATGAGACAAACGAACGAACGAACGAACGAACGAACGAACGAACGAACGAACGAATGAATGAATGAATGAATGAATGAATGAATGAATGAATGAATGAATGAATGAATGAATGAATGAATGAATGAATGAATGAATGAATGAATGAATGAATGAATGAATGAATGAATGAATGAATGAATGAATGAATGAATGAATGAATGAATGAATGAATGAATGAATGAATGAATGAATGATTGGGCGAATGAACAGATGGAAGGAAGGAAGGAAGGAAGGAAGGAAGGAAGGAAGGAAGGAAGGAAGGAAGGAAGGAAGGAAGGAAGCAAGCAAGGAAGGAAGGAAGGAAGGAAGGAAGGAAGGAAGGACGAAGGAATGTTATTTAGGGGTCGAATGAACAAGCGAACAAGGCAATAAGCAACCATTACATAATTTGGTAGAATAAGCAACATCTACATAGACACAGGATAGCTTTTACTAGTTCATAATACGCATTGCATGTCATACCTAGGTAATCTCATGTTCTCAGTTCAATGCATTGCCAAGGACGTCGAGCTTCCATCAAGCCTACATCCATGATCTCAAGGTGGGGCTTCTCATGCTTGTGTCTCCGCAAACTTTGGGTGAGCTTGGCAGGTTGTGGGTACTGTGTCGGGCAGTCAGACTACATACCAAGTGCAGCACCAGGCCATGGACTTTGCATGGCTGGGTTTTGCCACCTGTTTTGTAGCCTTCTGCTTGCACAGGCGCGGGTGTCGCAGCTGCCAGAGGTAGAGATCCCGCAGGTGTGGCATTGGCGACCTGTTTGATTCCTTGCGGCACGCACAAACACGTCAGGCGCAGTTTCACTATGACATTGAGCCGTGCGCTGCCCTGCTTGCGCATGCGTTTGCTCAAGGCCACATACAGGCTTGACAGCACGGCGAGGTTCTCTGTCTATGTGCAGCGCGATGAGAAGCGCTGGCGCCCTGAGCACAAGCACCAGGTTTTACGGTTTGGCGCTGCTTTTTTTTTTTTTTTTTTTTTTTCCGTGGTTTGTTGAGCCCTGCTCGTGCTGGATGGTTCATGTTTGGAAGTATTTATCTTTGGTGTCCATTGTGCTTGTTTGTCCCAAAATGTTGTTGCGTTGCTTTGCAGTCTCTATGCTGGTTTAACTGCCCGTTGCCATTGTCAAATTCAAGTGAATAGCAACATGAAGCAAAGCTCTTCAGATATGGAAGAACAACCCTGCACGAGTGTCAGAAGGCAGAAGCATTGACAACACACGGCTAAATGTAAACTGACCTTCCCAGTTTCTGCAGCATCATGCAGCATCAGTCTTGAGTGCGCACAGTGGTGAGTTGCCTTGTCCTTCACCTGTGGAATTTGTCCTGCAGCCTTGGTGCTATGTATTCCAGCAACATGCGGCCAGGTGGGGAGCTTTATACGTGTAATCGCGATGTATCACGCCATAGGAACCACTGCTGGGGACATCGGGCAGTCCTTCAGCCTGCGAAGTCGGGGGCCTTGGGACGCAAGTTGGAGCCTTCGTGGGAATCGGGACAGGCAGATGCGGGGGGCATTTGGATGGAGTGCGCGCATGTTTGTGTTTTACACCTATGTTGCACTTCTAACGAAAGCGCACTTGGGCAGAATAGCGTGTTTTCCGCAAGAAGATTGACATGATCTTGATCCAGGGAGTGTGTGACGAGTATTAACAAAGGGTTTGCTCGAGTTTAGTTTGTTTTCCGCGCGTGTACGATTGAAACACGTACCCGCCTTAGCAAGGGCCTTCCATTGGCCCAGGCTTACATGATCTAAGGCCACTCAGAAGCGAAGCTGCGCGACTACTCCATGACCTCCAGCCAGTCCAGCTTCTCCAAGATGCCAGGCAGACTTGTCGCCTGTTCTCGCATGGAAGCCTTGCGGCGCTGGAACATGCTGATTGACTTGATTGACGAAGGTCTTACCGACTCCTGGGCCCGGATGGCACCTTGACAGAAGTTTCGATCCATTGCCATGTTGAGAAGCTCCTGCTTGACGTGACTCAGCAGGACGGCCTGGAGCGCAAGCCTATGGTGAAGGCACTTCAACGTAGTTCTGCCGCGGCCTGAACGGTGTGCCATGAGAGTATGGGTTCTAAACGGGCAGGTGCTTTGCAGAGCGCAGTCTCACAGGGCACGGGAATTTTGGCATGTGTGTCATGCGAGTTGCAGGTAAAGCTAGGTTTCTTTGAGCCCAACTTTGTGTCCACCAGCAGCCGCGGCCTTGCAGTTGGCCATTTGGTGTTTGCTTGACGCCTGTGGTGTGTTCCTATTGCCTTTTGCTTTGCCCGTGCTTTGGATCTCGGAGGTGCCTTCCGGAAGTTCAGCCGCGGTGAGCAGAGCCTGCAGCTGAGGGTGAGCCAGGCGTCCCTGGAGAAGAAAGCAACGCGAAATTGGAGACCTGAGACAAGCCATGAGAACCATGTGAGCCACAATCAAACCTGGGTAGATGAAGGTTAGTAAGGGACAATCCGTTGCGGCCGTCTTCTTAATTCTTTACATGGTTCTGGGTAGACCATTTTGATACCGGGCTTTGATTGTGACTCATGTGACTCATTTGGCCTCCCCATCAGTGCACTGGCTCTACCGAGGGGCTGCGCAGGGTGCCATGAACGATGAGGTGCGGATGGGCCAGCAGGTTTGGACATCTTGTTATTTTGAGCTGAGATGGCCTACCATCGTGCCACTGAGGTTAAGGCGGACCTCAGGGCGGTGCACTACAGCTTGGGCCAAGATCTGAGACGTGAACAGCACTCTCCATGCTTTCATGATGGAATATATGTGCTACCTGCAAGGTGAGGATGGGCCTGGCAAGGTCAACTACGAAGCTTGGTGTATTTGGGCTTAGCTAGTTCATCATGGCGGTCCGTTTCCCGAGGAATTGCCCCAGTGTTGTTGCTTTCAATTTGTTTTTGTAGAGTCGGATGGCTTTGTTTTGCACAAGACTTTGAGTCGGATGTGTACCTTGGGGTTCCTTTCTGAAGCTTTGCAAGTGTGGCCAGTTGGAAGGGCAAGTTTATTGGCACGCTAGGGCAGTTGCCGTCAAGACCTCGGACCTCAATCACACTCAACATGTCCCAAGACCATGAACCAAGGATTGGTATGAGACCGAGCTGCAGCGATGTGCCAAGTCTGCAGCTTAGGCTCTTAGATTCACAGGGCATTCCGAAAGCTTTCCTCTGTCTTATTCTTCTTCTTCTTATTATTTATTTATTTATTTTTTGATTTCCCCCGGAGCCAGGAGTCACTGGGATCCAGCTCGGCGCAAAGCTTGGCCGCCAGCGCCAGATTCACCCAAAACACGAGCTATGCCGGGTGCCCAAATCGTGGAAATGTGACGGACATGGGCGGCTCAATATATCGTATCATAACGCTTTCGGCTTGAGACAGCTTGAGACGGCTTGAGACGACTTGAGACAGCTTTAGATTTGAGCGAGAGAGAAGCTGATTCTTTCGGCCTGTGTCTAATTGTACGAATGCGAGCAATGCGACCAAGGCGCATAGGGCAGACCTTGCGAAGCTTTCGCGGTGGAGAGCGTGCTGTGACGCGGTGAGCGCGGAGAAGGTGCACGCGTACGGGGAGCGGCTTGAGCGGCTTGAGCGGCCGGCCGCAAGCACCGCAAACAGCTGAGTCTCATAGACTCACCGTGCGGATTTTGGCTTTAGAAAGCTTATTGAAGTGTTTCAAAAGCAACACTCGTTAAGCGAACAGGCATTGGCAGCAACATATGTAATTCAAGTTCTCAATTCCGTGTGTCAATGTGTTGCCAAAATTGCCTATCCGCCTTTTCCCTCTGGGCATCAATCAACTCAATTTTTCGATTCAATCTCAACTCAAGTGCTGCGCTGCTTGGATTATTCTAGAAGCTCTCCAGCTCATGATCCGGTTTTTGCAACCGGGGCAGACACCTCTGCGAAGCAGAGTGAATGGGCAGAGGCCTTGGAAAGCCAGCACGGACTGCCAGCAGCCTCCCTCGGCTTCTTTCAGTGAAGCACGCTGCACCGATGCCAACAACCGAAGGTGTTGAAAGCGCGTACACTGGAACATTCCAATATCTGGCAGGTGGAGCACCATCAGAGATTGCAGTTTTCAGTTTTGCGAGTCTGGCTTGTACAACTCACTCACTGCGCGTTATGCGTTTACGCAATTTGTTGAGTCATGCGTCAGGTATGATTTTGGCACCTCGCTTTGTGCGGTGCTGGGAGGCTCTTTTGTCCGGCGCTCAATGCTCAAGTGGCGTTGACAGGAACTAAATATGAAGATCTTTTAAAATCTTGTTGCACCACATACGGAGAAACTCCACTCAACTTGGTTTGGGACACCTACAAGGGTCAACTCGATTACCCTGACTGAAGTCATGGCCACGCAGCCGCGCAGGTTGTGATTAAGCTGATCTCCCGGTTTTCCTTGCACATGTCGGCTTCCTTCAAGCACCGGCCTTACACAATGAGACCTCAGGCTTCAATCCACGAATCCATGCGATTGAAATGCGTATTGAGGCAACTTTTCCCCGGCGCGAAGGTTGGCCGTGGTGGTGCTATGAGTATCGGCCACTTCGAATGAGCCAAGCCAAAGCAGCATGGATCGGACTATGGGAGCTCGTCTGGGCGACCGGTTGTGTAGATGCCGTCCTGGCTCTGAACGGAGTCAAGGCTGCAAAAAACTGCGGCAGACTGCCACGGAGAAGGAACATGGCTGCCGAGTCTGAGCTGTTTGGGGCAGCTCTTATTGTGGTTGCTGGATCAGTGAGACAAAGATCAGCTGCCGCACGAGCTTTCCCTAGTTCCCAGCCAGGATGAGTGCAGCACCCAGCAATACAGGCAGGCCGCTGCATTGTCTCTATGGAATGCGTGTTTGCCATGAATCATGGCACAGTTCTATGACACTCAAGCTTCACCCAAACATGCTGCATGTGTCAGGTGCCGAAAGCCAGAAGGGCCAGAAGAGGCAGAGCTTTCCCAGGAATCCTTGTCACGGCTCTATTCGCACGACTTTGTGTGTGTGCGCTCTCAGCTTTTCACCTAAGTCAGGAAAGGAGAGAATGAGACGCTTATGTGCCTTCAGGTCTGCTGACATTTTCCTAGACCCCGTTGCGAATGACTTGCCGAAGACTGAGGCAAGGACAAAAGCATAGCATGGTCCATCACAAAATGCAAAGCGCGATGTGCCCATATTGCTATGGCTCACTTGGACACTTGCTTGAGCTACTAGCACTGACCACTTTCAATCGAAGATCGAAGCTGTTTCGCACCCCTTTTGCAACAGCTGGTTGGGGCTCCATTGCAACACTTCAGGCTATTATTTTACTCTTGCAACCAACCACAGGACATGGAGGACCTGGCTGCTTGGGGTCAATAAGGCTGTTAGAGGAATATGTAGAGATTCTGTAAAGTGACAACGGCGCACACAAATTGTTGTTCTTTTTTGATTTGTGAAGCATATGCAAACGGCTGACCTTTTATCTATACTGTCACACATGCTGAGTTTGGCACTCGGCGATCGGTATTTGAGGGGCCGCAGATTGTCGCGGCAAAACGAGCAGGCTTCTTAGTTGTTTGGTTGCAGAGCAGTCCAAGAGTCCAACATAGTCTGATTTCATAGTGTTGTTCAAAGGCTTGGCAAACAATCAGCGGAACCACTGGTTTTTGAGTGCTGCGTAAGTGTCTTGGTCTTGTTCAACTTCAACTGACACAGTCAAACTGACTCAGCCCAAAACCAGCGCTGCAGTTTGACTGAGGTTCGCTCGGCTGCTCCGGTCTTGGAGGGTGCTTCTTCCGTGTCAAGAGGCTCGGGGCTTGAGTAATGTGAGGAGAACTTACTTGGACTCTTTGCTTGCTTCCCCCGGTTTGCGACTGGCAGTTTGCCAAGGAGGTGGTTCAGCAAGCCTCCGCCGACCGTACACAGTGTGGACGGAACTGGAAGAGTGGGAACCTCAGCGTGAGCGGCAAGCGAGAAGTCGTGCGTTGGGGATGCTTAGAGCGTTGCACGCTTTCGAAAGCTGAAGGCTTGAGCTACACAGGCAAATTTGTAGATCGGATGCGCATGGCAGTACTGAGCAACTCAATCAGCGCTTCCAATTTGCTCCCGCATTCAGGCCCCAATGGAGCATTGTGCCCAGACAAACTACTTGTCCGAATACTCCTTTTGAAAGGGTCTTGATGATAGATCGCCTGCTTCTCGCACTGGCCCTCCGTTCTGCCTGCAGCCGCGAGAGCGTCTGGGCAGCAATGTGAATTTTGAACCTCCCTTGCTGCGGTGCTCTTGCCGCGAAATCCATAGCCTGGTTGTTTCTGTCCAGTTTGTTTCTCATTTGAGGATGCAAAGACTAGCAAAGCATGTTCCGATCTGCCTGTGACGCTAGAAGGTCTGTACGAGTTTGTGGACCTCCCGAACTGCAGCCAGCTTGGGGTGTGGAATCATCAGGCACCCATGGCACCCGCTCTGTAGCCGTACTCGTGAGCTTTTCGCGGTCGATGCAACTTGATTTTGCAGTTTTGCAGTTTTGCAGGTGCCAGTGCTAGCGGGCGCCCTTGGTTTCTATGGCACCTCTGGTTGCTCGGCAGGATATTCGTGAGAAAGGTCAGAACGGTTGGCTGGGTCTGATTTAGGCGATGTGTGCCGGTTGGCATTTTGAGCAAAGGCGAGCGTGTGCCGGGCAACCTGGGCCGCTTCCGCTTGCCACGTGCTGTGGCATTGGACGAGGAGCAGCAAAGGCCAGCAATAAAAGTTTCACAAGGGATGCAGTGACTCAGCATTGGTCAATGTCTTCATTTGATTCAGGATGATTTGGGTAATTTCTGAGGGCAGTCAGTGCACCTGAAGTCGGCGCAGGCTGTACATTTCAGACGCCGCGAACCACGCGGTGCGGCAGGTGCGCCTGGACAACGGCAGCGCACACGAGGTGACGACAGTGGCCGGGGCGCTGGGTATGGCGGGCAGCTCCGACGGCAGCCGCCGGGAGGCACGGCTGCGGGAGCCCAGTGGCCTGGCGTTGGATACGGCGCAGCAGCGGCTTTACGTGGCCGACGCGGGGAACCACGCGGTGCGCGTTGTGAGCCTCAGCGATGGGGAGGTGGAGACTGTAGCCGGGGGCAACGGCGCGGGGGACCATGGCGATGGCGGGCCAGGCACCGCCGCTTCCCTCAGCACCCCGGCCGGGCTGGCGCTGGCAGAGGGGCGTTTGTACATATCTGATGCCGGGAACAACCGGATCCGAATGCTGGATTTGGAAACCGGCAACATATCCGCAGTCGCGGGGCCCTTTGTACAACCAGCTGGTTTGGCCTTTGACCCGTTGAATCAGATTCTCTACGTGGCAGACCAGGGCAATCACGCAGTTTTCAGTGTTGTGGCTGGTGGCCCTCCCATATTGGTGGTGGGGCAGCCTGGTTCGCCGGGTGGCCCGGGCAACGGCGCCACGTTCATAGGCCCAGCGCTCCAGTCCCAGCTGCGGCGCCCAGATGGCCTGGCGTTGGATGCCATGGCACAGCGGCTCTACGTGGGGGATGCCACGGCCGCAGTGCGCGTCGTGGACCTGGCCACGGGCGTCCTCACGCTGGCCGCCGTGCGCGCCAGCTTCGGCGCCAGCTTCGGCACGGGGCAAGGCGAGGAGTACGGGCCCATCGGCCTGGCCTTGGGCACCTCTCGGGTGCCGGGCTTCAGGGTGGACTCCACTTACCATGTGCCCCTC